TATAGTCGATATATATGCACTGCCTAGATATAGAATGAACCTTGCTTGCAGTACCAACGGATGACTGAATGCGCAAGGGGATCGATCACTTACATACCCGTGGACCCAGTGAGCAGTGTGTGTGAGGTGGCAAATTGAAGAATGACGACATTGAAATGTGTGGTTGGCCATAAAAAATAAATATTTATCCAATCAAAACGCAATATTTCTGGAAGATGATAGGGTGTTGAACAAGAGCATGCATGCTGCGTCGTATTGACTGACTGATGTAACTAGCCTTGCATTGCAGGTACCTTATTCACAACTAACACAGTGATAACGAAAGGTGCTGATACAGTATACTAGAGGATTAGCCCGTCGTTGTTGCTCGCATCAACGATGACCAAATCCATTTCTGCTAGTAAGGCAAGACAAGTATTCTAGAGTCCTGAACCATGCCAGAAGTTGAGCTAGCAATGTGATGTAGCCCTGTGATTTTCCTTGTTATCCGGATTCCCCAGGGGGGAACTGACAAATCCTTGCAGAAATAATCCGGGGATCGAACCCTCGACCTTTGAGTTAAGAAACCGATGCTCTACCACTGAGCTATTTTCCCTCCCCTAAGGTTATCCATGGGATTGGATTTCATTTTGAAAATCAATTACGATACATATTGTTATCTTGATCAAATTATGATCATTTGACTACAAATTTTGTGTTTAGGGTATTCGATTTATAGAGTGACCCAATCCTTTTGCACGGGTTATAAATTCGCAAGCAGCATTCCAATATGCATTTTCCCCTTTCCGGATAGACATGAAGAGGATATTTATTTGCAAAGGTTTGCTTCAAATATTTTTCCGCCGATTGATTGGTTCTTGAGCTTAGGCCCTGGCCGGGGAACTAAAACCCTGAACGAACCCTGAACAAATTTACCCTGAACGACTTAAATTTGATTGGTTGATTTATCCGAAATCCGGTTGCATTCCGTTAACTTCGTTCAGGGTTGCGCAGCAACCCCGAATGTGGTGTGAGATAACCAATCATATTTGACCTTCGTCATCTGGCTTCACTCTCACTGTCCTTCTTGCTTTGTCGACGTCAATATGGCTAAGCAAACACAGCTCACATCTAGTGCCGCCGACACAGTCATGCCCACAAAGGCGCGGAAATCAGCAAAGCTTCCCAAGTCCTCATTGGGTCCGAGCGGTGCACGTATGACTAAAACTACACCAACGAGCGCGAACGCCAAGTCCAAGTGGTGTGAATCGTCGATCGCTGCAATGTTCCGCCTCCGATACAACGACATGGGCCCTCGATTCGATGAAGTCAAGAACAACCCAAATGAAGAAAGCCTCATACGATCTTCTTGCTGCCGAGCTATCCATCGAAATGGGCAGACTGTTTGAAGCACTAAAAGTGCAAAACAAGGTAATGTACTTATTGTGCACGATCTTCTAACATTATATCCTTTTGTGACATAGAATATTTGTAGCTGCACGACCTGAAAAAGTCGTGGTTTACGCCACGAGTGAAGGCCACGGGAAATGGTATTTGGTTCGTATGAAGCCGGTTTACTACGACGTCATGTTCGAATACTGGGGGAGTATGGCGGGCCTCAGCCGCGAGACGCTAATGTCTACTGACATTACTGCAAGTACCACTCAACTTGATGTGTCAGATAACGGCAACGTTGTGCCCAATGCGGGCGATTATGGCAGTGATGGCAGTTCAACCATGGTGGAAAGCGATGACGATGAAGTGGAACCCCCGCAAACGGCCCATGTGGAGCGTAAATTGTTTTCTGGAAAAATGAAGATGGACACCAGCAAGCGTGGTAAAGCTAAGTCTCCGTCACACGCGGAGTCACTTTTGAAAGGCCTGGCTTGCAGTCCATCGGCATCGCGGTATCGTCGTCGCGTGCTGCTCCGAGTAGTGAACGACAAAATCTTGTCCGCACTCGAGGTTCAAACTGCCGCTATCGATAGACAGTCTGGTCAATTAGAGCGACTTCTCGAATTTTTGATTAATCGTGGATAATTCGGAGTTTTGTTGTACTACGTACTACTAGTAGTAGTACTTGAAGTACTACGTAGTATCTCATTTTTGTCATTGAAGTGCAAGTGGAAATTGTGTTGATTATTTGTAGAGCGCCTTCGCAATTCTGTCTCTACGATGCCTCGATACTGTACGCAACACTGCATTGGTCTCGACGGTGTTTCGCTTGGAGTCTGGTATCGGTTGGCAGTACAGATTTCGTTCTTGCTCGGTGTTCGCCTCAAACATTGAATCATTCAAGTGGAGCATGATGTTGTGCAATACAAAGCAGGACATAACATGCGTCACGGTTGAGCCCAACGTTTTCTCGTTCATTGGTCCTTTCAGGATTCGAAACCTCTCTTTGAGGCGACCAAATGCGCACTCCACAGCCATACGCGTACTTGATAGGGTGTAGTTAAAGTGCGCCTGACACGCATTCAAAGGCCCCCAGCCTTCTTCGTGGGGAAGGTATGGAATCATGAGCCAAGGGAACAACACGTATCCAGCGTCACCAATCATGTAGCATCCCTTGGGTGCCTTTGCTCGAAATGTGTTGCCAATTTCCGACAGTTTCCAGATCTTTTTATCTGAAAACGAATCCGCCCATGTCGACACTCATAAAAGACCCACGGCTGTCCACAACGGCCTGTACATTTAACGAAGGATCCCCATGTCGATTGTAAAACCCCTCGTGTTGATGCGGCCGCACAATTTCAATCAGAGTGCCGTCGATAGCCCCAACCACACCCACCATTCCGCCCTTCGACTCAAAGCCGAGTTGTACTTGGCGCCATTCATGTAGTGAACGAGGGAGGCAAATCCATCTCGTGGCCATCCCACTTAAAACCCCCGACAAGCACGATACAATCAATCAATATCCATGCACCACGACTTGGATACTCCAAACACACCTCCAACTTCACGATAACCACCAGTAGATCCCATAAAGTAGAGGTACATGGCGACTTTTTTCTCAAACGAGTGGGTTTTGGCGTACCGATCGATATTGAAGTCACCCATGTCAGCTCGAAGGATGGTGCAAATTTGGACAAAACTTCTTTGGTTACATCGTAAATTATTTTGAAACCACTGGTCGTACTGGTCGTCACGTAGCATTGCATCAAACTCCACTTCGTTCACCGTCAGAATGTTGTACTTCTTGGCCTTAGGATGCGCGGGGTCGATTACAACTGCAACACATACTCCGGCAACGGCAACAGCGACGGCTGCAATCGCAGAAAATGTTTGGTCAGCATCTGCAACACCGCCGCCACAACAGCAGGGGCCACCACCAACGCCACAACCACCACAGCCACAGCCAGAGGGCCAGCTACCAACGACACTGCCAACGTCACAATCACCACATGGGTCGTGACCATTGTCACTGGCACTACTTTCCATTGTTGCTGTTCACAGGATAACTGGTAGTGTTCCCCGGACAGAACATTTGACTGGTTTTCGTTCTGGGTTTTTCCCCGACCAGGGCCTTAGAAGGCATTGAGGGGACCGGGATTAGGGTATAAAATTAAGATACATCAATTGAAAATTTCGTTGTCGGTTCCATGTCAAATAAAATATTGAAATGCATATATAGATATTTAGAGGTACTATATCTATGAGTTCAAGTCACTGTCACTAGTGCCAGACGATATATCCGAGCTGATGAGTTCTGCATCGTCTTCATCATTGGCAGCAAGTGGGGGTCCCCCAAAAATCACATAAATCGCATATTTGTCGTTGTGTCCCAGCATATGTTGTACTTGTGTCAACTTGTCGCAGATGTGCCAACCAAAAACCAGGAACACAAATCGACTGGTTCAAAGTGGGTTTGACCTCTTGCACACGACATTCGGTCCTGCTTGCTGCAGTGGTGATGAGATCCTCGCCTCTGGGGCTAAGAGGGCTCGACAAAGGCATCACCAGCATACGATGCACCGCAACCAGCTTCTCCTGGCTCTCATGTTGCTCCTGCGTATGCAAATACGGACTCGAAATAAGGTCTCAAGTCACAAATGCTCATTGTTCTCACACACACTACTCTAGATTATATCGACTGCACTCGTCACACCGAGTGAAATACCATGGCACGCAATGTACATGCGTAAATGCGATCGCAGCTTCATGGCGACAGCAAGTCTTGATGTTGTATCTTTTGAGCGCCTTCTGGGCGTATTTTCACAACACTACATTTTAAAATCTGGACCAGGTAGATCATTTAGAAATTGACAATCAATTAATGAACATCAGATCGACGTGGTAGACCTCCTCGTTGTGAGGAAAAGCACGTTGTCCTCGCATGCCTGTTGCACTCATACACCGCCCCCGTTGAACACAAGACTCTTTGTGTGCTGTTTGACATGCCACCCACGACACTTTCGCGAGTGCTGCTCAATGCCGAATGCGCTCTTCTCAGGGCACTCAAGTCCATGCCCGAAGCCTCGATCCGCTTTCCCGACCATGCGACGCAATTGGGCCGATGCCTGCACTGCTCGTGAGCCTGACGCACCTCGAATTGCCTTCTTCCTCGATGGAAAGAACTACCGTGTACAGGAACCCAGCCACAGAGATGTTCAAAACGCATTTTACAATGGTTTTGGTAGCTTCTAATTTAGCCAACATTATCACATATTTGATATGTCAATTTCTCACATATTTCAAATGCCTCCGTTTTAATAGGTTGGTTGCATTCGGTTTATGTCACTGGCGTATTGCTTTACGGAGTCGATGGCACACTCGTTTGGGGGAAGCACAACTTTCTCGGCTCTTGGAACGATGGAGAAATGAGTCGACCATTCATCGAACTATAAGGAAGCCAGGGCGTTTTGGCCCCTGGTGTGTGTGTTGCTGCGGACACTGCATTTCCCCTGAAAGACGGGAACCGCAGCATCGTAACTCCTTTGAAATCCTGTGACATCGACAAGACATCGCCCATGCTGCGTGCTGCTGTTGAGCGTGTCAGTAACGCAATTACTTCGTTACGTCAGGCTGTGGAGTGGGGTATGGGTTCTGCCCCGATTGTCTACCGCACATTGGGATTGCCACTCCCTTACAATCCAACTGTTCGTGCCCGACGACTAAGCACGATCTACCGCTTGTACAACTACCGAGTTAGCTCCACGGGTATACGTATGTGGCAGCTTGGTTCCGTGCCACAATGCATGATTGGTAGAAAACAATCACTCTGAAATTTCCAGCCAATCAGATGCAATTTTGACAGATAACTGGATAAAATCAAGTGGCTCGGAACTGTTTTCAGCCTATCGATATTTCCACTCTTTTAATTCATTTTCCATCAACACTAATACGAAGTTCGACATGATTTTATGTTCTACGAACTGCATTAATTCTCCTCTTTAAGAAACACAATTATAATAGCAATTTGGAGTAAAGGAAGCCCTCCATCGAAGGGTTCCAAAAAGTGTCACGGTACTGCGCCCATACGTGTATAAGCCAAATTCGCTCTGTATTTCAACCAAATAATTGATAACAACAATTGTTTCCAAATTTAGTTTTGATTTTTTTATTTGAACCAAAATAGTTGATGACAACAATTATTATCAAATTTAGTTTGAGTTTCCTAAAAACTTGGTCATGAACGACATCATTAGAGTTTCATGCTGGTGCTCACGTTTGCGAGCTTCTCGCTCCCGATCTTCACGATCCAATAGGTCTTGACGGCGTTGTTCGTCCTCACGACGACGCTGATCAGCCTGCTCGCGCTTCCACGCTTCCCGCTGTTCCGCCTGTTCTTTTCGCCACTCAAATTCACGAGCACGAGCATCAGACTCCATTTTGAGAAAAATGGACATGATAGGACCCGATACCGGTGCGCTTTCAGACGCAGCGGCGAGCTTAGCTAAATAAAGAACATTATTAGGAAAATAATCTGGACAAAAAACGTTTAATTGAAATGAAGTGATTTGAAAAAGGAACAAGATGCCGAATTCATACCGATGGAGTTGTCCAACGAAGAGCGACGCCGAGCAGCCATGGACAGCATGGGCTTGTTTTACAACCGTCAATAACGCGGCTGCGTCCGTGCCGATCCGAGAGGACACCACAAGCTCCTCAACAGCCTCAGAGACTTCCTGCGGGCTGTTGCCGTCGGACCCAACATCCGACCGCTCACTTGCAGCGTGAAGCTCCATCACGTCCACCTTGGACTCAATAGCCCAATATAGGCGCTTGGCGCGTTCAATTTTGGGAGGGCAGTACGATGTCCCTGTTGGCTTCGTTTTGTTGTTCAAGCCTTGGAAGCGGCGCCTCAGACTGATACCATCGCGTTCTGGCCAGTTCGATTGCCCAGTACGGTTTTATTCGAATGCCACACGATCCTACATGTTGCCGCCGAAGGGCTTAAACTCCTCGACGAGGTCCAGGAGCCGCGTCGTCTCCTCAGATGAGAAGTGCTTCGACTTGGTTCGTGGCTTCCGTGCGTTCATCAAATGGGATTGCTACAGGATGGTCGGGAACCAAAAAATGACTGGTCTCAACCGTCCTGCTGGCTGTCCAAGTTGTTGGACGCAGAGAAGTCTCGAAACACGTAAAGAACTCCATATCTGCGCATCACTCGACACAAACACAAGTCTGTGTAACGATTATGTCACTACATGTGTTTGCCATGTGTGGTGTTTATGTTTGCGTTTAGTTATGTGATTTTTGGGGGACCCCCAGTAAGTCATAGAGATTTGTGACAAGCGTTTCACAATGACGAACACAATTCCAATTGACAGCAGGGGCAGCTGCAAAAAACAGCATCGCGGCGAGCACGAACGTCGGCAAAGGTAGTGTCAGCAGTATTCAACACACCAACATCACCCTTCACCTTTGCCCATACCATATTCAATAGGTTGCAGATCCGAGTGATGCGGTGGAGTGAACACAATGTCTGACCACGGGAGCGAGCCATCGACATAACAACTGGGTCCGCACGCGCCGAAAGTACATGTTTGAGACGACCCCATATCGTCTTCTTCAAGTCGTGACACTCCACATCCACTCCATAGCGTTGACAAGCCAGCAGCAGACCCGCCTTGCGCCATGTTCCGCGAGGGATGTCCGCAGGTAAGCCCTTGTGGTACTTCGCGTTATCCATGACGAAGGTGACGCCACCCTTTCCGAGTGCCTCAACACTGTCCATGGCCTACTCGAACCATTCGATGAGTATGCGTGATTGAACATTCGGTGGTAATCCTTAGGATCATCTCGTATCTTCTTCCCTTCCTCGAAGACGTCAAGGCCGATCACCTTGGACTCAAGCGCGGTCAGACTCAAGGCCGTGCCATGATGCCGGCGATAAAGCACATTCGACGACCCTTGTGCTTGTCCTTCACAGGATCATCAGTGGTAGGATCATATAGGCTGTCTTGATGTCTCGAGTAGAGATGGTGTATGTAGCTTTCGTACAGATACACGACCGGTGTGTCGGGCGACAAGTTCGTCATTCGTTTGATATAGATATCCCGGGCGGCAGCATGCGCGGCGGACACACTGTAAGACGCCTTGCCACGGCACTTGCCTCGTTTGAATCCCATTCTATCCAAGTGCAGTTGTACAACCCGCAGGCAAGATGCCACACGCCTGTCTACGTCACATTGTATTACGCCGGTGTCGAGTAGCACGGCCATGACGTCCTTTGCAACAGTCCGGACTCGGGTCATACTGCGCGGGCGGACGAATTGGCGCACGAGAGATGTCACGGCGTGTGTGCTTGGTATGCGTGTTGGTCGTGCATGCTGGTTCGATGGTGGTGTGGCAACGTTTATCGTATTTGTGCGCAAGTAGTCGGACCACACTTCCTTAACAATCTTTCGGCTGCGTCCAAGAAGGCGTGCGATCGTAAATTTAGTAGATGCATTGCGTACGTTGTCGCAACGAAGCTCAACATGAAGACGGAGAATGTCAAGACGTTCTTCTTTAGTTAGACTTCTTTGTCGCTCCTGCCGAATGTAGGCAGTAATGTCGTCGTTGTCTTCGTCAGTGATGGTTGTCATGGTTGGAATTCAATAGAGAGATTTCGCAAACCCCCGCGTTCGCGGTCGCATTCCCGTACACTCCATATTTCAATAATTGTATGGGAAACCTCCAAAACATAGTTAATCTTCCCGTACAATTGTACGATTGTGCGGGAGAGTCTCCCATTCCCAAAAGACACGACTAGCTACCATGGCGCAAAGCGAACAGCGCCGCAACTGGTCGTGGGACGAGGACAAGGTTTTGCTGATTCAACCAGCCACAGACAAGCCGTTCGCGGCTGAAAAGGGTCAATTGACGAAAGCGTGGCAGGCGTTGGCGAACACGTTGCTGGCTTGCGACCACTTCACCCGGGTGGTGGATGGCCGAAAGGTGCAGAACCGATTTTCTGCACTTGTCGAAGAGCACCGTCGTTTCAACAAGGCCTCGGCGAAGCTCTCCGGTGATGACGAAGAAGAGACGGAGAAACACATCCTTCTCGACGACATAGTTGCTCTCCTAGACGATGTGAAAGAAATCGCATCGCAGAAGACGAGCAACAGCGTGGTCTAAAAAGAGAAGGCGGAGCAAGGAGCCCTAATTCTGCGGGACATGGCTATGCGCACAATGAAGCGACGCAACGACAACGATGGTGACGAGCAGAAGACGAAGCCAGCCCTCGACAATCGTCGAAACAGCTTAGCAGCCGCCATCGAGGCTGAGAGCGAGCGTGAGTTGGTGGTGCGGGAAAAAGAGCTGTCATTCCAACAGTTTAAACTCGAGTCGGAGATGAATCAGCGAGAACTGGATCGCGAAGAAAGACAAGAGGAGCGTAAACACCAAATTCTAATGGCGCGAATTGACAACGAAAAGATGTTACTACGTAGTAGGCATGTTTAAAGCCTTTGCAGAAAGCAAGAAATAAGATTACATTTTTGTCCAACGGTATATTTTCTTTTGATTTTATTCCTTCGTCAAATACTCTTTAGTGTCGGCGGCGGCAAGTTGAAGTATGTTGAGATTTGATTTCCTCCATTGTAGCAGCAGTTGACTGACCATATAGTTGAACACTCGACACAACTGCTCTCTGGACCTCCCAAATGTCGCCATCATGTCGTAGTATGTCACAGGGTAGCGTAGACGACGGAGAAAGATACACATGACTTCCACACCAACAATACGATCGCGGCAGCTCGTTACGATGACATTGGGAATCCCCAGCAAACAGGTCAGTTCCAGCACACCACCAACGTCAAACCGGAAAGGCAGCAGGGCATCGGCATCGCGCATGTTCAAATCGAACCTCACGTCTGGAATGAGTGGTCGCTCAATCGGTATGCCAAGGGCATACTCATAGAGTGCCATTGCAAGCTTGGGGCGGAGTTTCTTCCTCTTGGCCCACTTGACCAAGAAAAGAGCGAATGTGTAGTCCGTGTTATCCATCGAGCAAGGAAAGTAAGAGTTGCGAAATCTCCCTAATGACTGGCAGTGGAAGTTGTGGCAATGTATTAGTCTTTGGGGGCGGTGATATCGCTGAGTATTTATTTTATTATGTGCCTTTGGAAAAATTTATGTTATTATGTTAAAGAGGTTATGTATTGTCATTGTGAAAATTGACAGTCTTTCGTCATGCTTTGTAACATATCTCGTAGGATATTACTTTTATGCACCCAAATAAAGTTCTATTCCTCCAATCAAGTCCCACACACATACAAAATTTCGGAGAAAAAGGTTTTCTTGAACTCGAGATGAGCATATTTGTCCCTTCGATGCCTTCGACCACTGTTGGATCTTAAATTGAGTCATGCTTTCGACCACTGGGGGGCTCCCAAAACCTTCGCAATACACATTTTCAGTCACAATTTCGTCCGGATGAGTGCTTCATTTTAATCATGCCATCATCGATTGAGAGGGTATTCACCGAGATGTGCTACCAAAACCGACACAAGACACAATAACAATAAAGTATATGATTGGCTGAATTATTGGTGGCGCGTGGACAGTTCAGAAGAAAAGAAAATGCGTCTTGGTGTAGCTGGAGTCCTCTGGTGCCGCCGCCGCCGACAACGCAGGGTGCTGGTAGCTCATCGCCTCCGAGCATCTCTCAGAGAGCGGAACAAGATTAATGCTCGGTCACTACTCCACGAACAAGTAGATTGTCCCTGGTACACTATGTATGCAACACGTGGCCCAGCCTCTTTCATCTCTACCGTGTCATTATTTGATAGTCTGCTCGTCTTGTTTTCCGGTGTGTACGAACAACCCAGTAGACGTGGCATGGTTTTTGAGTGTTTCGAACTTGCGACGGAGCGAGTCGATGTCTCGTTTTGGGAACGCCTTTCCATTAGTGTTGTAGGCATCAGCTAGCTACCTTTGCCCAGCCATTGCGTCCTGCTGGGAGGAATAGCTCTATCTTGTCGAGCATGAGCTCGGTCGACGCAGGACACCACCCTTTACCACGACGCGGCATAACGTAGAATGGCTAGCCACGTATGCGTTCCCTGAGAAATGGTGTACTTCTTTATAGAGGTAATTTTGTGTGGTTAGATGACACAAATCACAATTCTGTGCAGACCACAAAATCATCTCCACAAAATGAGTCGCGTATTTTTATTTGAAAAACAGAGGTTTTGTGACATTAGGGAGATTTCGGAGATGAGTATTTATTTATTTATCTTTATCCTTAAAATAACCTCTGAAGATTTATAGGGTTGAGGAAAACTCCGGAACTTAGTACCAGAATCCATGAAATGGGTCCATTTTGGGGATTCGAATCCTCGACCATGATTGGCCAGATCTGTTGACTTGTGATTGGCCAGATCTGTTGACTTGGTGCAACGCTTTTCTGTTGTTGGCACTTCGAATGGAGCGTGGAGGTGGAAGCGTGGAGGATGACCCACATGAAGTGGAGGTCAATCAGAGGCGCGGTGGGAGCGATCAAGTTCATGATAACCTCCATCTTTATGCATAGTGACGTAGAATCATCACATGTATACACTTGTAGGAACTACGAAAAGCAACTTAGGCGGCGCCCAACGCCGCAGCTTAGTCAGCCGCGCCTAGCAGTACATCCGACCGGAGTTGTACCAGCGGCTATCAACGATA